CCCCCCCCCACTCTGTGCAGAAGCAGACAGGTCAACCATGGGGAGAGGACCACCAGCTCACCGGATCCCTGCCTGTCAGCAACTTACACTCCTCTAGGACTCGGAACAAGGTTGTGTTGACGGCACAGGACGGGAGAACCACCAGGTATCAACACCTGACACACACAAACACAGGCTTCCCCCTGAGCAGTGCTCGTACTGGAATATTCTCCACTACATCTGGAGGAAGCATCCCAGCACCATGTGTTAGGATGCACAGGACAGAGAGAAAATAGGACATGACAGACTCTCCCTCTGCTTTAATCATGTTTAAAGAGAAGAAAGGAACCACTGAAGGCTTAAAATAGATTAAAAACTAGACTTACCTTAACTTTACAGAGGGACGTGGAATTTTAATTTCAGGTGATCTAACTGCTGGCAGGAATGACTGACAACTGGTGGATCAGTGGGGGTCAGAGTGTTTCGGGAAACTCCCAACGAAGCGTGTGTGCTCAAACAAACTGCAGACGTTCCGCTCATCGAAGTATCTGGTAATAGGCAAAATACAGGAACTGTGTCAGTTTAGGGCCACTGATGATGATTGTGAATGTAGTTAAGTCTGTGCTGATGATGATTGGAAAGGACACAAAAAGGGTCAGAGTGCCACTCTGGAGGACTCCCATCAGCTACAGGGTTGTGGGTGTGTTCATGTAAAGATATTTGTGTGTGCTTAGACGGCACCTGTAATGGCTCCCAGCTGAGACTCACCCCCCCATGGGATATGGTGAACTGCAAGCGTGTGTGTGTCTGTGTGTGTAATGAGGCTCTGGCATGCGAGTGGCAGAAGGCTGCTTCCTCCACAGGTGACACCTTTGACCTCTCATCTGTTCCCTGTTGGAGGAGAGAAAGAGGAGGGGTGAGATGGAAAAATGAGGGACATCTTGACATGTGGAGGTGCAAACTTCACAGCAATGAGACAACAAAAGCAACAAGTAAAACATGTTGAAACTTCTTTTAATGACGTTCTGTCGGTGCATATAAGTGCATTGTGATCCACCTCAGTGGTTACGGCTACATTAAGAAAATGTAATATATTCCAGCCCTTTCAAGGCAAATATTTATCGTGAGATCTTTTTGGATTCATTATTTTTAAAAAAAAGTTTGAGTTACAACAGTGCAGCTAAAACTGAAAGCAAAACACAGAGATGCACAGGGGGAGCTCCTCGGTCATGCAGTCAAAACATGCCCTTAACAATTTTCCATCAGTGAAGGTACAAATACATACATAAATAACTATGTTGGTCTTTGCATGGTATGCATACTGAATAGCCCATTAGAAATGAGGTATTGGCTATTAAACAATACACAATTAAAACAACAACAAATTAACACATCGCATAGTGTTATTGCTGAGCTAATAAATATTAATAAATACATTTTAAATAAGAATGTGCAAACGAATGCTATCTTAGAGTGATGCAGTTAATACCAGGACTGTAAACACCTCTTAAAATATTTCTCTCCTGCTTTGAGGCAACTTCTTTATTCCTTTGAAGAGAAAAATAACTCAAACAAAAAAGAGAGCACAGATTTGCAGGCATGATGCATCCTTTCGTTTGTTCTTTTTCCTCTTTTCGCTCCCTGTCTCTTTCTTGCTCCTCTTGCTCCTCTCCCTCCTCCAACTCTTGCTCTTTTCTGCATCATTATAACGCCTGGTCTCGCAGCCTGGACAGCCTCTGGGAGAGCTCGTCCTGATGCCAACACAAAATCACAACAATCAGTAACAGCAAACAGCAAAAACACAACATACAGGCAGACCACTATTTTGAGGTGTGAATATTTTCCTAGAGGGATCTGTCAGTTTTCAAAATCTTTCTCCTATTATTATATTCGTGGCTATTAAATGGGAAAATCCTTCTTGGTTTAAATAGTTCCACAAGTCAGAAAAAACATATGTCAATGAATCACCGCTAGACAGAGCACTTAACCCTTGAGGAGATGGCTGCAATAGTGGAGTCCAGTGGTGAGTTGTCAGGATGGAAGATGTATCAAACCATCTTTGATCAATCAATCAATCAAATTTAATTTTTATAGCCCATATTCACAAATTACATCATGGAGCTTAACAAATGTGAGGAAGAACTACCAAAGAGTACTTTTAGGAACAACTCAAGTAACATGTGACTTGTTTTTGTGTCATGGTGTCGTCCTCCATGAAGATAATAAAGCTCCAGCAGAAGCTTTGCACCCTGTCATATTTAAGTGCAACAATCATTGTGCATGGTGAACATTCATATCGATGGTGGAGATGTGTGTTGAGTTTAAAGAAATCTCGCTGGTAATTTAATAGTTTTGTTCATTGTGGAAACCCTGTTACCTACAGTATATATTTCAAGCTGACAACAGCCACTGTTCAAAATTACTATTATTCAATATCCACCTTTCACTTGTACAGGGGGTGAGTGTTTAAGTTGAGTATCACTTTCTTTTATTCTTTTATTCTAACAAAATTGGTGAAACTAATTAATGTGAACCAATGAGAACTACAGTGTGATTTGTAACACCCATTTGTAACAATTATCTAAATTGTCCTGTATATCTGACCCCAATAATCAAACCCTCATGCAGAATGAAAAATATTAATTATTATAAAACCTGACAAAGTTGTTGGTTTTTTCTATTGAATTTAATTTGAAGCACAAACAAACTTCTGTGTGTTTTCCTGTTGGAGGGGGAAGTTTATGGTTTTGTACATAAACGTTTTTTAACCACTAACCCAATCAACCAAACACATCAAATCGGGAAATTCCCAGTGATAAGACTGTATGTGTCACCTGCTCTGTTGAGGCCACAGTTGAGGCCAGTGAGGTAGTCTGGCCTGAAGGAAGCTCCAGGTTAAGATCCAAACTAAAAAAGAGAGTGAAAGATACACACAGAGGCAGTTTTACTATAAACAAAGAAAATCAACAAAACAGAGGTCATTAAGTCACTGTCACCTTACAACACAGCGTCTCTAAAACTGTAGCATTTCTTGTTAAAATCAAATTAGTTAAAATAAAGCTTTTAGCAGTGTATTCTGAAGTTTTATCCTTCTAGATTTAATAAGTAGGTATAGTATGTTTTTATTTCACTGTATTTATATTCTTCTTTATTCGTGCTTTTGCTTGTCTCATTGTTAATGTGCTCTTTAAATAAGGGCTGTACTCACCCGGCTTCATCAGCCATCTCATGCAGCAGCATATCCACTTCATTCTAAGCAGCAAATGGGAATTTCAAAATGTTTGAATTCATTCTGGGACAAGAGTGTCCTCACAAGCAGCAGCAGGAGCAGTTTTCTCTTGTTCTGACAGAAGGGTGCTTGTTACCTGAGGTGTCATCAGAGTCGTGGTGTTGCCCATCGTGTCTTCCATCTGAGCAGTCTGCACGTCAAGAGTTTCAAACTGCTTTTCAAACTTGTCCATTAATCCAGACACCTAGCGAGGAGGGTGGAGGCACAAAACAAAGTTTCAAAAGTCTGAAAAAAAATCATATATCAGCTTAACTTTGTTTTGTGTATGGGTTCATGCTTTACCTTCTCTAGGTTCATGCTTTTCAGTGTAGCATCCATACTCTTGACCACCCCAGACATGGATTTAGATACCTGTGTAGAAAACACATGAAGTACAGTCTGTGTTCTGCTTTATTTAAGTCTGATTTTTCATGATTTAAAACAGGGTATTTGATGTCAAACTGTGAGATGGTTGTTGACGAGTCTTATCTTAAAGTGCTGTATCCTAATACTTCCACTAGGTGTCACTTTTAGCTTTTTAACCAGATACTTTTTCAGGACAACCTCTCATCTTTACACCATCCCTAACATTTCAAAGATGATCCTAGTTGAGGATTAATCTTTGCAAATTCAAAAAATCAATAATTGATTTTAGTATATTATATGTAAGGGCTTTATTATTCATTTTTTATAAAACAGGCAACAGCATTGCAACAAAATACAGATGTTCATGAAAGGTTTTTTTTTTCCACTATACCATCTCATGCTGTGCTTCAGTTTCTAAAGACACTATTGATCTCGATTTTATGAAAGGAGGCCTGTCTCACAGTGAACCTGCATTAAAGCATTTCTGAAGAGGCTGACACTCTTATGAGAGCAAGATGCTAATAGCACAAAATCTCAAGCACATCTAATGACTTAATGTAATTGGTGGCTTTTTGTTTATGGATCAGTCTCCTTTTTAAAGAGCTTTTAACTTTCTGCCGTGAAATCGTTTCATCCTGTAGCTCTATACCTTGCACAGTGAATGGCATTATCTGGTAAATAAGCATACCCATAGTTATGACAGTAGTATCACATATAGGTTAAAGCCATGTCATTTCTACATCTCTGACCTGCAAATACACTGGGCTACACTTAAGATAAAGCTTGACTACCGGCTCTGTTGTTTATGATAGGACCCTGACAATGAACTGTAATGTCCCGGCGTTGAATCCAACTGTCTCATCCTCATTTCATTCATCTAATTTATCAAAATCTAATCAAGAAAGAAAAATAATGATAAAAATGTTATAATGTTGACCAGGCTAGTAATGATAAGTTTAAAATGCAAACACCGTACATTAGGAGACTATCTGGAATAAATAAAGAGGGAGTAGGTTTGGTGTGTTTTTCCCTGATTCTCATTTCCCTGTTTTAAAATACAACACCCCAAAAGGCCTTTGTGACTCATCGACATGCAGTCCTGACCTGGTTCAGTGTGACAGCAGTCTGGACCCTGGATGCCACTGCATCCACACGGGCGCTCATCCTCAAGAAGTTAAGGGACTGGTGCTTTTGACGGATGGCATTCTCTGCATGGATCCTGGCTGCCTCCATGTTACCCTTCTGGACGGCCTGAGAGACAAAAGAAAGAGGAGTATATATACACATTTAATACAGAGTGCAGTTATACTGCAGTTCAGATTGGCCATGGCTCCTGGTCTCTGGTAAATCAACAAATTTCACAAACCAACCTGCTTCACTTTCGCCTTTTCTGCCTTTTCTTCTTTATCACATTTCTTTGAGTTGCGCTGTAGCTCCTTGGCCGCAAACTTGAGGTTGAATAAGTGTTCTGTGGGACTAGTCAAAGGATCATTTAGAGCAGTATTTGTAGGAATCGCTATTGGATAAGCATTGTACAATATGGCCAAAAATGATCTGCAAATGAAAAGATTAACATCAGTCCATAACAATAATCATCACAGTAAATGTCACATTTTTTTCAATTTTCCCATGAGTGAAAGTTGTGGTTTTAAACTGTTCTTTATGAGCAGAGAATAACAAACTGCAAAAGATTTTCATATCTGACAAAGCTCAATTATGTATATGCATTATATTGATTTACAGTATATTTAACCCCTCTATATATTGCTATTGATCAAAATTATATTGACATGATTATTGATCATGTTTTACCACCCACTGGATATATAACAAAGCATCTGAAGACATTCAGCTTATTCAAACCAACTCAGTGCAGAGAATAATAATAATAATAATAATAAACTTTATTTGTATGGTACATTAGCAAGTGCTCCATATACATAATACCAGAGAATACGTGCAGTCCAATTACAAAATTAAACAACTAAAAGATGAACTGATTCACCAAAACACGTTTCACAGCTATTAGCTCGCTAACGCTCCTTGTTTTCCTTCAAAGCTGAATGACTGGGCAAAAGTTACAAGCTACATGGTTAGCTACCAAACCAAGCTGATATTTAGCTAGCAGCTACCTCCACTGATAGATAACCGAATACCATTAGCCAGGAAAGGATACTCTCCATATGCGACATGATGAGGTCTGACACGAACAGATATGTATTACAGATATCAAACTGTTTTCAGTCACTAGCTTCTTTCTCACACTTGTTTATTTTGATTTTTCAGGCTGTATTCAAGGTCGGGAGCGAGGCAAGATCATTCACTCACGCGTACTTCCGCATTTGCTTAAATTCAGGGTGGCAGCTCGAAACGACTGTTTCACAATCCGTGGAGTGATTTTTCTTCATATTGGAGTTAAATCTACATTTTATACCCAGTTGATTGTTGTTATTGATAAACTACTTCGTATGAAACAAATGGGGCTGTGTGGGATATGATTTCTGATAAACTCGATTAAGATTGCTGTTTGGAAAACGGCACAGGTACTATCTTGACTTCATCTTCCTCTTTGGACACAAATCGTTAATACCTCTCTCTCTCTCTCTCTCCCTGTGTGTGTGTGTGTGTGTGTGTGTGTTTGTGTGTGTGTGTGTGTGTGTGTGCGTGCGTGCGTGTGTGTGTGTCTTTTGTCTCTCTCTCTCTCTGGGTCTCTCTCTCGTCGTCGTCACGTCACATGGTCACGACTTTGCATGAGCGTGCACGCGCCTCTCTACGTCACGAGCGTTTGAGAGACGGTCGGGGCGCGCGTGTCCACAGCAGACAACTTCCATCCAGGCTAAAAATAGTTTGTTCCCGGTTTCGGTAGGTTGTGGTACACGTCTAATGACGTCATCTGTGCTGTTTTTGTAAAACAAAAAAAAGGAAAGGAGTAAACTGACCTTTTTTTCTCCAAAGCCACGCACTGCTCGCCTCAACGCAATTTTTTCTGTAACTTTATTATTTATATATAATATACAGGGCCTTGTGTGTAACATCTGGGGCTTATGTTTTGTCGCGTGCACTGAGGCAGAGGCAACACAAAGGGAGGGATCAGGCTGGTTGGTGGGGAAGAGATGGAGATGCATGGAAGAGAATGGGAAGAGAAAGAAAAGGCTTCTTGTGTGTACGTGCACCGGCCAGTGGAAGGGACCGGGGTTGGGGTTGGGCTGGGGGGATTAACGGCTGGGTCAGGGGGAGGGAGGTGGTATGACTCATGCTGTATCTGCTGATAGTCTATGGCCACTGCACGAAGATATAATGATTTGTGTCTGACGTGGATGAGGGGTGTTTCAGAAATGAAGTGTTCGGCCATTACAAGAGGGTCTTCTGGGGGGGGGGGGGACACAGGTGCAGACCCAGGGACGTCTCTAAGCTATCCCAAGGGGATAACCACAAAAATCGCAGTAGCGATAGATTGGAAATG